AATATAGTATGCATGCTAATGTAATCAGCACATGTACAGTCAACAGCAGACCTATATGCTTATGTTCAAATGCCATCTCCAGTGCAATGATACTTGATGTGCTACCCTCTGTACATAATTATCCTAAATGAATGTTATATACCTATATAAATTTGTTTATGTAAACATTTGGGTATATTTATTGTTCACAGCAAAGTGGCAAAAGATTCTGGGGTTTATTCAAAGACATATGTGGGTCACCTGAAAACTTTTTCAAGACTAGTTTTGTGTACAACTACCTGCCACAACAGTGGATGAAAAAAAATGGCTGTAATGTTACCCCCGGAGATCTTAAGGTACATTCATATGACTGATTTATCTAAGTCAGCAATGATCTATAATAATACTTTTTGAACAGTAGCCAGTTACACCATACCACAATAATAATTTATAGTCCTATGCTGTGCTTTTGTTTTCTTTTAATGCAATAATTTTAATCACAATAACTCTTTATGGAAGGCTACATCAATTTTCATTTTGTCATAATAGTTCAGTTTCAATAAAGCTCTCATATAGATGATTCAGAAACAATACACTATTCCGTGATTACAATCCTCTAATTTTTTAGCAACTTGTTTCTTTCCAGCCCTCACAAGTGGAAAAATTATATAGCATATGTGACCCTTTCTTCACAAAAGTACTGGACCTGTATGATGTAAAGACCATAGTGGCTGTGGGAAAATTCTGTGAAACCAGAGCTCGGAAAGCTATAAAGAAGTATCTGCCTTCAAGCAATATTGAGGTATGATAAATTATTATATTTATTATAAGTCCTATTTGACAATCCCTTCAAACAGGGTTTCAAAAAATACTCCCATAACTCTTCTATTTTCGTCTTTTCTGCCCTATACCTTCATTTTTTAACTGCCTCCGTGGCCGAACGGTTACCATGCCGGACTGCCACTCAGAGGTCCCAGGTTCGATTCCCGGGCCGGGAGAAATAGTTGTATGGCCTACAATTATTTCTCTCGTGAGTTTGGGTGTAATTTGTGGTTGTCTATGTGTGTGTCCATGGCACCCGTGACACAGGGTTTCCCTAGTGCGGGGCTATGTTGAATGTGTGCGTTATTATTATTATTATTATTTACTTCCTTCTTATGATTACAATGTAAATATTATTACATTTATTAATTTATAAAGAATTTAAATTATAAATGTTGTTTTCAAGCTGGTTATATACTCGATGTTTTCAAGAATGGTATATATGTATATAAATTAAAACATTAAGTTCTTACTAATCAGATTTGCTATCAATCATACATTTTACATTACACCAACTCAACTTGTTTGTACTATATGTCCCATAGTGTACTAACATTTATCTTAAAGTTGTTAGAAAGGAATTGCAACTTAGGAATCAGGATATTTTTTATTTCAGATTTTGTATTTGCCCCACCCCAGCCCTAGATCAGTGAACAACAATGACTGGAATAAGAAAGCAGTTGAGTGCCTTAAAAAACTGGATCTCTTGCAGTATTACAGTAATACCAACGAATGAAATAGAGATTAGGAATAAATGTGATTTTATTATTCCATTATGGTTCAGTTTATACTGATTTAAATTTTTGGTACATAGTTATAAGTTTTAATATGTTCTTTTATAATAAGTGATTTTTTTATCAAGAAATTATAAATATCTGAATTTCTTTTTATTTTATTTATTACGTCCACGTCATCATGAGTAGGAGATACATAAATATTTTCTTCTGAACCTACATTAGATAAGATTATTTTTATAATCTTTTTGAATAGTGGGACAATACACGTGGAACGGAACACCCTCTTTTGACAGCAGGATACATGATAGCAAGTTCAGTTGGTAAAAAAGAAACGACAATACGCAAAACTGCGAGAGCTGTCACTAGCTTGTTGCGTTTTTAATTTGTGTTGTACGAGTTTATTCTGTGGTTGTGATGTTGCTTTGTATTAAGGTTGTTAATTAACCTCAAATTCCCTATTCTACATTTTGTATCTTATAGTTTTATTACGTTAAAAAGTCAAAATCTTTCCCTACGTTATTGATTTAGCAAGTTGCTCTACGAATACTACTTTATAATTATTATTGTTTATTATGCTGATGGATAAATGGATTAATGCGATAAGATAAAATTCAACGCAATTTGTAATTACGAAAACAACGATAATGGCTGAGTTTATGTATAAGGCACTTGAACTGGCATCTGAAGCTTTAGCTGCACAAGAAGTGCCTGTTGGATGCGTATTCGTTGTTAATGGCACCATCGTTGCTTTTTCAAGGAACAGTGTAAACTTCACACACAATCCAACGAGACACGCAGAAATGAACTGCATTGACTTCATCCTAGATTACTGTAAAACTAAAAACATTGATTACCACAGTTACTTCCAGGAAACCAGTGTATATGTCACTGTTGAACCATGCATAATGTGTGCAGCAGCATTGCACAATCTCTCTGTTAAAGAAGTAGTTTATGGCTGTGGGAATGACAGGTTTGGAGGTAACACTGTCTTAAATGTTAGTAATTTCTATGAATACAAATACAAGCTCACAGGAAACATACTAGCTGACGAAGCCATGAATTTACTTACACAATTTTATAAAGGTGAAAACCCAAATGCACCGAAATCCAAAGTCAAAAAGAAGGAATGAATAGAAAAACTTTGTTACTATGTGATCCATGTAATTATAGGTTCATAATGAGCACTAAAAATATAATAAAATGACTCTGGGCTAAAACACACTGGAGTATGTACTTATTCAATAAATTTTATTTATTGATGACATTTCATTAAAAATATTAACTCATGGTGTTTCAACCCTTGTAAGTTTATCAACTAACTTAAATAGAAATTTCCTGGCATTATTATGAATGTAAAATGTAATAAATGTGACCATTTTGAAGTGACCAATTCTACATTTATTTTCGCAATATTATGAAATACCCTATCAACATGTGGAACAACACACTTATCTCCATCAATGTTAACTTTTTGTGATGTCACACTATCAAATAGGTCACTCCTTTTTGGCACAATCAATTCAAGACCAAGAGATAAGAAGTTACAATAATTAAACGTAATTGAGTAAAGATTTATAAGAATGTACTTAAATCTTGCAGATATATTCCACATCAATTTCAATCAAAATTTACCTTCTCATCTCTTCATTTTATAAACTCCCTGTTAAAACATGCTCCATGATACTTCTAACTTATTTTAATTTATATCTACAAATCTACTTGACACATTCAATTTGGTTTAAAACTCATTTAAAAAAATGTAAACACCTCATCCTTAACAACCAACAATAACATTAAAATATTTATGTCTAAAGGGCTACAATACATACATATAATAACTCTTCATACATTTTTTCTTAAAACTAGACATACATTAACCCACTGTATAAACATAAAAGTGAGATCTATATCTGGAATAATTAGTACATTTTAGTACACTTATTAACAATACTACTGAGAAAATATCCACAAGGATATCACAGAATTTTTTCACTAAATCTAACATTGAGATCTCACAATTACATTCCCACAGTGTCAAAATTTGTACAATAACAGGACACTTGAAATAAGCAAACATAGGCAAGTAACTAAATGCATAACTTGCATCAAGTGCTTGAAGACAATAGCGAAGACAACAATATAAAACAAAAATGTAATGTATTAATAATTTATAATCCCAGTTTTAGCCGTGATTATATTCTATAGTTTAAATACTGTTAAAAATAAAATCTTCAAGAATCAAAATATTTTTTTAAGAAATTGGCTTAAAGCCTGTATTTTTAGCCTCAAATTATTCACCAGGGCTGTGGAACCCATTGACAATGGCATAAGGGTTTTCTGTTTCATCTGCTATGCCATTTTGCTCATTGGGATTTTCTGGAATTTCTCCATTGGTCTCAGGCACTACGTCAGACATAGGACTCTTGCTTCTGCTGGAACTGCTACTGCTGCTCACTGAAGTAGAGGAGCTATCACTCTCAGAGTCCTCACTAGAAGAATCTTGAGTCCTTTGTCGAAGACTTTCATTTTCAAGTCTTAGCTTTTCATTGGCTAATTGTAATTCCTGGATTTGATCTGCTTGTTCCTTCATTTTCTGCATTATTTCATCAATTGAAGTGTCACCTACTGCACTTGACTCCACCGAGTTGGCAGATGTGTCCTTATCAGTAATCATACTGTCCCTATCTGTGACTGATGTATCCTTCTCTGTCACAGTAGTGTCCTTGTCATCCTCTACATACCTGGGTTTAGCTCTTTCTGTCCTTTTAATGAGATTCTCATATTTCGCTTCAAGCAAAAGATATTCTTGAATAAGATCATTTTTAGACATACCTGACAGTCTTTCACTCTGAGCATCCTCGTAAACACTGGAAAATTCTTTAGTCAAATATTCTTCTTCATCCTCTGGTAAAGAGAAAAAGTAATTTTCTTCGGAATCCATACTGAAACTGGAGTCTCGTGTGCGAGCCGAAGGTGTTTGTAAAGTAAATTTATTCTCTGGCTCAGGCTTATGTATCTCCATCAAAAACTGGTTGTTATTGAAAGGGGCATGCGTTTTAGCCAATACGATTTTACGGAATCTGTTATTTCTTTTAGTTTTATCGTTTTTCCTTCGATCTTGCCATGGTATTTTCGTGTACGGTTTCATAATCTTACGTTTGGGTTTCCCTCGTCTCCTCTTCTTTTTAGCATCCGGTGTTTTTGCATTTCCGTCGAATGCACGATTCGGAGCATCGACGATAGATGGCGTTTTCGCAAGAGGAGGATGCGTCGATTCGCCATCTTTTATTTCTGCATTATTTACTTCCATTGAAATTGTCTAAAATTGCACTCACGGTTGAAATATTACAGCAACACAAATTTTCTGTTTACGGAAGCTTCATTAAACGCACTCACTTGTGAATTCTAGTCAGAACTTCTATCTGCAAAACACATCGTACCACAGAGAACTACACCCAACATCTGCGATTTCGCCATCTTTATTTATTTATTAATTTCATTTAAATTTTACCTACCAAAATTATCTATAGTGTTGCCTAAAAAATTTAACATTCTACTGCGTAATACTGAAATAATTTAAATCCTCCTAAATAATTTTAGTTTCGTTTATTTAACATAATTTAGATGATCGATAATACAAATTAAAGTATTATTTGTTCACCAATAATCAAGCCAAACACTGTAAACATATTTTAACAGTAACAGATTACTGCCTACACTAGAAATATCTTTGTTGAACTGGCAACATTTTACGACAAGTCAACGTATTAAAAAAAAAATGTACTGCGCTTTTTTGCCCCCACTACGTGCAAAGTAGTGCAAACTGTAAAGCAAACAATTTTTTTAGCATTTATGGTATATTCACAATCACTTACTCGCTGAGTAGACATTAGAATCCTGAAGAAGCCTCTAAAATTGCTAAGCGAAAAACTCCATACTGGCAAAAGTGGCAAATGCAAAAATCAGAAAGCATTACAAGATCATTGGGGCACCGTCAATTAAAATCTATGAAGATTAGTAATAGAGAATTTATCGAAAACGTCATTTGTGTTGAGTGAAAAATAGAACTTCTTACCAGGGCGAGGGAAAGAAGAGTATTTTTCGAGCGAAAGATTTGTTTGAATGTAACATTTTTCAGGGAAATTAAGTTCAATTTGTATACAAACGTGCTTACAATGGCCGACGACATACTTTTTGACTTATTGCACTCCGAAATCATTAACTATTCACTAGAACAATCGAAAGATAATAATGAAAAAAAGGTATGTAAATCATTATCATCGTTACGTATGTGTATTTATTATTTGTAATACTTCTAGACCGTATTAATAGTACTGTTAATTTCAGGAAGTAGATCTCTCAGTAGTTGAGTACATTGGGTTTTCGGCTGGGTACAAAATAATGGAAAGACTAACAAGAGAATGGCCAAGATTCAAAGACGAGTTGGATACTATGAAGTTTATTTGTACAGACTTTTGGACATGTATTTACAAAAAACAGATAGACAATTTGCGTACTAACCACCAGGGTGTCTATGTGTTACAAGATAATGCTTTCCGTTTCCTTACAAATTTCTCCAATGGCCATCAGTACTTGGAATATGCTCCAAGAGTAAGTTGTAATGAAGGGTACTTTACCTTGTATTTTATTGCGTATGTCAAAGTATGTGAATCTCAAAGGTTTTTTAGACATCAACTGAAAACTAAATTTCTCATCTCACTATTAATGTAAGTCCACTTTATGAGAAAACCATTGTCAAAATAGCCTTCATATTCAAAAATGTAAGTAAGGTGCAGACCAAAATGTAGATATTGTTGGTATGGACGGATAAGAATCTTACTGAATAGGTAAAATACTGAAGCATTCTTTAGCATCTCTGTAGTCAACTTTATTATATAGTACTGAATACCGTCAAATTCTTCTGCATAGATTTAGGTGAAAACTGTTTTTATTCTATGAGATAGACAATTCAATTTATATAATGTATGACATACAGTGATTCACAATAGACTTATAATAATAATGACTTATCCATTTATTGTTATAGATTATCTAATCTTTTTTTTTTCTTTTCAGTATGTGGCATACACTTGCGGTCTGATTAGAGGAGGTCTGGCCAACCTATGTATTAACAGTGTTGTTACTGCAGAAGTCCAGTCAATGCCATCTTGCAAGTTTCACATACATGTCCAAAGAACTTAGCTTAAAAAATAATTTATTTATATAGATGTAGTAGTTATGTGATGTCATTCTATTATTATTACTGTATTATAAATATTTAAGTTAAATACATCTACATAATAATTTAATAAGGTAATTTTAATTAAGGACTCACAAAGAGAATAAACTGAATACACCTGAGAATTTATTACCAAAAATATGAGCGACTTATTTTTTCCAAAAATTTAAAATAAAGAAATATAAAAGCCAAGAATGTTATAATATTATTACATATAATATACTATTATTCTACTCATTATTACCATATTAAGCTTGCATGCAGAACTGGAGAAAAGTAAAAATTATGTCGAGATGAAGCAATTAATACAACAGGCTCTGAAAATTGTTCCATTGTAATAAATAAAAAGATTTGATAATTAATTACAAAATTTAGCAGTAAAGGTAAAAATTAATGGCAAATTTATAACAATAGTATCAGTAACACTCCAAGATTCCATATTAAAAAATTTACTAGCCTAGTCCATAATTTACCAAAACCAGTTTATACAGCTGGTGATTTTAATGCATATCACTCCTTTTGGGGCTGCAATTCCACGGATCCTCGTGGAAGAGCTATATTAGAGTTTTTGGATAAAATTAAATTATTGAATAGTGCGCTAGCAACTACTGTAGGTAGGTACTGATATTTAGACTTAACAATGGTTAGCTCCAATATAGCATCGAATTGCCTATGGCGTGTCAATAACGACTCTCTAGGTAGTTATCATTTACCCACATTAACAACTATACAGTTATGTTTATCTAATACCTACACAGATTCCACACTTTTCATAACCACTTGACTTACCTTCTCATACAAACTTACGTTTAGTAAATAGGGAACATTATTGTAAGCTTGTAAAGAAATGTTAAATCAGTACTTAGTATCTGACAATCGACAAAATTCATATAAGGACTTTTGTAATTTAATTTTATCAGCTATAAGAAATTCAGTTCCTAACAGGCTAAATCAAAGGAAAATTCACAATGTAAACAACATTAATCCACAAAATCAAAATGATAATGACGTTGGTAGGTCTCATTTAAAACTTTGCCAATATCTTTCTGTTCCCTGATGGATAGAAAGATGTAGCAAGGGCTGTGCAAAATAGTAAGGCTGTATGTATGCGTGTATGCTTATATGTTACATAAATTGCTTAAATTTTAAGAAATTACAGACTGTAAAGAAACTGGTAGGTAATTAAAAAGGAAAGTAATGAAAGTTGCAAACTGTTCTGTTCTGACTTGAATAGATTATCACCTAGGTATGTCTAGGATATGGCAAACGATACGAAAATTTAACAAATGTTTTGCTTCTCAATCTGGTCAACATGATGAATATGCCTGGCTAAATGATTTCCCTAAGAATTATACTCCTGATTATGTAGAGCCACCCTTAATATCGTCACAATCTCATTCGTGTCTTAATGATTACAATTCTTATTTAATAACCTTTCCGTTTGGCTGAATTGAATTCAGCCATCAAGTCTAGAAAAGATACGTCTTGTGGTTTAGATTTTAAATCTTATAAAATATAAAAAGAAATTGTCGTCATTTGAATAAACTTTTAGTAATTCTGAATGATCTCTGGTTAAACAATATCATTCCAGTCGAACGACTGCTTGATTTCCGTATCAAAACCCGATAAAAACAAAAATAACCCTGATTCTTATCGTCCAATAGCTTTAACTTCTTGTGTAGGTAAAATATTTGAACAATTGTTAAAACAACGTTTGGAATTTTATATTGAGAGTAATTATCTTTTACCGAATAATCAATTTCAGTTCCAGGTGGGGACGTTCGGCTCGTGAGAGTGTTGGATGTCTTTATGTAGATAGGTATTGAAAAAGCCTAAGTGATAATCAATTTCTATATAGTTTGTATATTTTTCGACATAGTTGGTCCATTCAATAACATTAATCTTTCTGTGTTAGCAACAACCCTGTCCTCTGGAATTCCTATGAATTCCATATAAAATGGTCAGTAGGCTTTACAAGTTTTTAAATGAACGCCAAGTCTTCGTTAAAATAAATAGTAATAAGTTAGACGGTCCTCGTTTATCTCATAAAGGTGTATGTCAATGCGGTATCTTAAGTCCTTTAATGTACATATTATATATCAATAAACTAAACGAAATTTTAGGATCTGACCCGACAGTTAACAATCTGCAATTCGCCAACGACCTAGCTATTTATACAAAGGGGCCCCTCTTTCTGAATTGAAATCTAAATTAAACAATATTCTTATAAAGTTGCGTAGTTATTGCAATTACCTGAGAAGTTAGTCCGAATAAGAGCAAAGTTATAGTTTTCAATAAAATTGAAATAAGCGCCCGTTGAGGCTATCTAAATTAGATCTGATTGAGACAGCCAATAGCGCGCGCTTATTTCAATATATCGCGCGGGTCGCGACTATCATGCGTAGCCTTACTACGGAGGCAGGTTTCGACTTATATTATGATAGTCAAAAAATTACCTGTAGTTGCTTCTGCAAAATTCTTAGGAGTGATTTTTCAAGAAAATTTTACGAGGAAGTGCTATTTCTATTAAAATATGTCGATATTTTAATAGAAATAGCACTTAGAGCTACCAATATTTTAAAAGCCCTTGTTGGTAGATACCTTAGAGGATGGGAAAAAAATATGGTAGGTACACAGTGGGGCGCTGATCTCAAAATGTTACTTTTTCTCTACAAATGATTGGTCAGAAGTCATTTTTAATATGTGTCGTTTTGTTTTGCGTCAGATAAAACATTAGTTGATAAACTTGAAAAAATACAAAATTAAAATATGAGAATTATGAGTTAAGTACTTAAAAATGGATGCAACATTGGCAGGAGACTTTGTTAACAAAAGGCACTTGGTATCAAGGTATAAACTCTGAAATTAAACAGCCGTGGTTTGTGAAAAGAAGATATATTCATAGAAAGTTCTGTACAACTATTTGCAGATTACGTCTTAGTCATGGACGTTTCAATGAATGCACATAGAATGCACATGAGGAGATCATGTCTGGCGCCCCGTCGTGCGCTCACTGTAAGTACTCCAACCAATCCTTGCATCATATATTTTTCGATTGCCCACATTTTTCTATCGCTAGAATAATCCTCACCGATAACCTTCTTGAACTATAAACAAAAAAAAACCTGAAAACATTCCGCTGTCTTTACCAGATCTCCTGAAAAACAAGAATGTTATCCAATTTTATATTATTTCGTAAGAAGCACTATCGAAGACATTTAATTTTTGTAATAGGATACAAACAAGAAAGAAAATTACTCTCAGTTTTGGCTGTGTGGCGCATTAGTGCCTTTGCCTTTTTCAATGGAAAAAAACAGTATCAAAAAAATAAAAAATAAAAAGAAACTTGTCTATGATTTCGATTTAGAGTTGCTCTTGTAATATTGTTTCCTGCAGTTTTGATTTAGTACGATTCAAATAAATGGCATTTTTTCAGCAGTTCACAATCTCGAATGTACAATGTACTATTTATTAGAGGACATAAACGTAAATGTCATAATTATGTATCATTTATTTTTTAAATAACGAAGTCAATCAGATGAGTCACAATTTGATATTACATTTTTTTATTTCATACAATTTAGCCAATTTTCCAAAACACGCATGGTCACTTCAAACGAAACTTTTCTGACGCAAACTTTTTGATTGGCGGTCTTTTGCTTCCTATTCGTTGTTTCTTCAATTTTACAGAAAATGGCTTCCGAGAGGTTGGTGACTGAGCAGTTTCAATTTTTGGGTATTGAAGTGCAAGATGAAGTTCTTGCGAAATGTAAGTGTTTATTTACCGAAAGCAATTGAGTTTTTTACGAGCATAATTCGATCAGTCTCGCTGAGTTGTCGACAAACTTTGCCCGTAAATTGTATGTTTCAAGGTTGTTTCACTGTTGAATTTGTTACTTTTCAAAGGTGTAAGTTTGTGCGATGAGTACGACATTGATGCTGAAAGTCTAACAGAACAATGGATGGCATTCAGTTTAAACCATTTAAATGGCGCGGCGCCGACTATGGAGAACTTGGATGTGTTTGCGAGGAAGGAATTTTCCAAGCGGGCTCCGAACTATCTCAACGCGCCTACTAAAGAAGCCGCCCGATCGAGCACCGGCTCGACTTTGATGGTGTATGGAGCGCCTATTTCGGCACAGTATCCTTTTAAACGAATGTTCCACGTGTTCTACTGTTTTCTGACCGCTTATCATGATTTTCGTAAAATGCAAGGTTGCTACTGTTTCCTAAAAAAGTCTGCTTGTAAGTAATGAGTATTGTGTGTTTTTAAGTTAATAAATGGATAGGTAGTTGTTTTGAGAATTTTCTAGGTTATTTTTTGTATTGTTTGTTTGTAACATTCCTTAATTAACAGGCCAGAGAACGATGTACTGTCGAATTATATGACTGCAAATGCAAAGGTGAGTGTGAACTTTTTTATGTCGGTTATTTTTGCCCCATTCATTAAAAAAGAAAAATAGGTATGTTGTGTAATGCAATCCAAACAGCAGGTAATAAAAGCATGACACTGAAGAGTGAAGTGAGAAAAGTGTGAAGAGATTGTTTTGAACGGAGAAGCAAAATACTTATACTTGCACTTGATGAGTGTATGTCTAGATGCACAGTGCACATCCTGTGACTAGATCTACACTCATTGAGTGATTGTATAACATTCTTTGAAGACAAGGATGACAAAGTCAAGGATTTTTCACATTATGTAGTTATTTTTATGCTAAATATTTAACCACTAAATGCAAAACAGTCTTTCAATATTCTGAATTTCAAAGAGTCAGCTAACAATGTTACTAATTTAATCCTGCTGATATCATAGTGTGACCATCTAAATAATATATCAGCTAAATTTTAAAACATTGTAACTCCATTTTTGAACAAAATCAAATTTAATTGTGTCTACTCAAAAGTTCACATTATTGGAGGTATGAGGTTTACTAATTTAGCCCACTATATATAATATGTATTAATCACAGGTTTGACAACCTCTGTGGTCGAGCGGCATGCATGCTGGCTTCCATAGTGTCGCCATTTCTGAAGTTCAATCCCCATCTGGGTCAATGTAGGAAGAAAAGTAACTTTTCTATATTGTCTCAGGGTCTGGGTGTTTGTGGTACCATCGATGTTTCTAATTTACATAACACAAGTGCTTTAGTTATTTACTTACAATCAGAGCAATGTGGTGATGCTGTCTAATGTAAAGAAATATGATAATAGATTGCAGGTTGAGGTACCTTAGGGATGGATTTTGTAAGTCTGTGTTCTATGAACATCTTGATGTCGAAACTGACTGTGCTGACAGAATCCAATTTAAAGATGAGTTTATATTAGATGGGATATTAATGGTCACTTTTGGAGTATGTATAGTATACTTGATAAACATTCACTTAGTTCAAAAATTAACTGCCTTAAAAATATGCTATAAGATATTTTACATGTGTGTTAAATGAAACTTATTGACTAATACTGAAATTTACAGCATTTAGGAATACCTAAAAGATTTGTTGTGAATAAAAATAAATATTTTAAAATTTTATCTAATGAAAAAATTTGATCTCATGTGTTTTCTTCAATAATATGCATTATGTGTTGTTATGTCATAAAATTGTAGACAATGGTTTTGGCTTCATGGACTCAAGAACTGTAGTACAACAACATTGTTTGACTTGATGATATTTGTGGGCGAGTTTGCTTCTGGTTCATGTTGGCTTAAAGTCATGACTAGATCCATACTCGTCTGCAGCCATCAACTCGATCTTCAAAATGGACCTTCAATATAGCTAAACGTAAGAGTGTTTAGGTTAGTTATTTTAAGTTATTTTGCTCAGTTTCCGTTGAGTTACAGCCACTTGGACATTTTCTATAAGTTTAGCTTTAGTAAACAAGAAATAGCACTTAGTGAAATCAAACTGGAGATATAAAAGCTGCTTCTAATTATTACATACCAGTTGCTACCGTATTGACTCATCTGAAGAACAGAGTCCGATATGTGATTGTATAGCGAAAAGAGAATAAGTACGTCACGAGAATAATTTCGTTATTGAAACTAAGGCCTATGTAGGTGTTTTGAGAATTTATATATCTTATTTCGTTTCGGAAATATAAAATTGAACAAAGGTCGATCTGATATCCACAGCGAAGAAGAATAAACGAAATGTACTATGTCCTGAGAACAAGTAGTCTTGCACATAGATCTTTGTTCTACGGTTGAGTCGATATACATACAGTTGCATATATTTACTTACCAAGGGAACTATTATTTTGTGCATTTACTGTACATATAATTCACATAATATGTGTAGTTGTATTTAATATCACATTCGTAGGCTAGGTTGTTAACTTACTATATCAAAGAACGCGTTGTGGCCGTTTAGTTAGTTCTAAGTTTAGAGCATAGTACAAGTTTCAAATTTTCGAGATTTTTGTTTTAAGCCGCATAAAAATATTGTATAAATCATAAATTTCTACCATGCAAACAGAATTGAGAGTTTTGTATGTTTTAGCTTTATCTCTATGGAATATGGGCATGTAAAGTAGAACTGTTTTTAAATCTGAAATATACGCCATATACGCATATTCCTAACTTAGTTTCTCAGAATTGATTGCACGATTTTAAAATAACGCAGGATTGCATTTTTTTCACGTATATTTGTGAAAAAATGTACAATATTTTTGAGATATTTCTAAGTCTGTGTTCTTCGTAGTATTAGGTATATTACGGCGAATGGATATTGTACATTCATGCGTATTATTTTGGATTCTACAGAGAGTAAAAGTGGAGGCAGACGTGATTCCTGTACAAAATGAACTTTGTCCAGTCACTTATTCGCCATCTGTGTGAGTATATACCTCATGCTGATATAGTTGTCCTTATCTCGTCTCTAAGCACTTATCGTCATATCTATTGGCCATTGTACGAGTTTATTTGTACTGTTCTTGGGATTCAAAATGTCTGTTAATTAAGTTACTGTTCAATTGATCAGAAAAAAATTGTATACATACCTCTATTGATGACCTCAATGGCTCAATGTTTTGCAATGTGTGCGATGGATGAAGTGTTCTCGGGTTCGAGTCCTGGTAGCACCAAAATGGAAATTAACTTTTCAAAATTGATTTCCGTCTGTGCGTTCTGGGTAGTGTCCTTGACTGAATTTGTTGTTACGGTACTCATAGTTTACGGAAGTCCCTAGTTTGAAACAAGACTATTGGGTGTAGTTGTGTAGCACATTATTAGTATCTGAAAATTTGCTTGTAATATTAAAATTTCGAAGAAGTTTGTATATTAGTAAGTAGAGGTACTCCGTAATTTAGTAGATGGGTAGTAAGAAAAACCCAGAAAAGTTAATAAAAAATGTAAGCTACTTAAAACTTTGTGCAAATAAAAATATGGAAACAACTGAATGAAAACTTATTGAAAGTTCCAAAAAATCTTGCTGACGTAATACTACTCTACCAACTCAATCTGCATATATGTTTTACCAAAATTTATTGATATCTATTTCTATAGAAAATAAATTAAATTTTAAAACTACCTTATACACATTTATATATTTATATACATTTCATAAACTTGGTGCTTGTTAAATTATTCCATCATGCGGAAATACAACACGAGTACATGAAATGAACATAGTATAAGTATTTAGAATGTATAGTTTTTGTTTTCTTACAATTGTGATTTGATCAAGTTCTTGATTGACTGCTAAATATGATTTGTTTTATCGGAACATTCTGTGTTAATTTTTCAGTAACTCATTTTAAAGCAACTTAATTAGTATTGTAGTCAGCTTCAGTTCGCTGCAATATCATTTGTTTTTCGGAACCTTTATTATTTCCCTTAGTATTCTATACACATTGCAGAGCTGTCGTGTCAACTCATGTACAGATTTGTAGGGACACATTTAGCACTGTAATCATTTTAAAATGTAATTAATTGGAGTCAAAATTATACGGTTTCCACGTGGAATATCACTGTGTTATTAATTAGCCAAGAAGAAGACAAAAATCTATAACCTAAACATTCCTCTGTTGGGCACAGTATCTGAGTCTATTAACGGATTCAATTATACACTACCCCACGCAATGTTGCAAAATTCTAAGCAATTTTTTTCTATTTACAACACGAATATTAACGACTAATTTCAAGCTTGTGATAGTAGACTATTATTTGAAGTTTCAAAAGTAACTATTCAGGTTTAGTGTCATTACTAAAATTACAATACCATATTTCAGCAATCATTCTGCCAAATACGCATCGAGAACAGGGCAGGGGTCAGTGGTACATTCTCACGGCGACGAAAAGTTGTTAGAAAGACTGCTGAAACCCAATGGTCTCAATGACGTTGTAAACCTGAATATCACCCTTGTACCTAACGACGATGGGGACCTTTATACGAAATCTTAGTAAGTGGCAATGCTTTTTTCTTATTTAATTCTTTTATCAGACAGTAATGTTAAACAAATAGAAATACAATAATGACACAAAGCTACTCTATTTATCGTTAGTACCTATATCATCCGCTCAAACTAGCTCTTTGTCAAAGAACACGGTTACTTTAAACAGGTGGCAAGATGTGCAAGATTTAAGTAATGATGATTGATACGCCTCTGTCATTATAGCAATTGTTTCTATTCTCAAAAAAAGAAATAAAACGGCACCAAGATCCTTCATATTGCCCTTTTTCTTAACCTCCTTGTGTTGAAACAAAAACAATAAAGGATTTTATCATAAACATTCTGTTATAGTTTTGGATTCGAATTGCTACACGAGAAAGCAAGCACTTTTGACAATCACATTCGCTACGTGTCGCAATGTATCATGAAGAAGGCTGACATCAAAGACTCCAGTTCAGTAAGACATAAATCGCAGGTAAATTAAAGTTCTCATTTAATACCACTTCACTATCTTTCATGAGGTGTATTTCCGCTTCTGAATAGTTGAGTAAAGATACAAAATTATTTGTTAGGTACAAATTTAACATAGTTTTACTATATAGTTTTGTCACTTGACGACAATAGGAGCGTGTGAAAGTGCCGTTCTTATGTTGTATAATTCTGCCATCTTGCTGAAAGATAGTCGGGAACGGTCCACGGTATCGGAGCTCATTTTCGACTGTTTTGCGGGAACTAAATTGTTTTCGGGTGAATTTCACTTTCCGAATTTCAATGGCACTTTTTGTGTCATATTACCGTTTAAGACTTAAACCTTTTTTTCTTTCGGTTTTAAGATCTTAAACGTACAAATAATGTCAATAATTATAAAATCACAAAAACATTTAAGTGTAACACAACAAAAAACGTAATTTTAGGTCACACGAATGAGATTGCGGTAACATGAATGATTTTCGCATATACCTAAATGATAAAGACGGCACGGTAATGAGATATTATTATTATAACACACATTTAGTGATTCACAAAAGAACATTTAACATGTAACAGACATTTTGATTTCATCTCTTGTAATAAAATCCTTCTCATCCGTGTTTGACTAAGAACTCGTGGAGCGGTTTCCACCCGCGCCCGCCGCGGTCGCGGGACCGCGGCTTCCGAAGAATATAGAATATATGCAAAATTTGGTAGCACATTTCACGACGCGTTTTACGCCCGCAGCGGAGACGGCTGCTCGCGGCGGCGACGCGTCGTGAAATGTGCTACTAAATTTTGCATACATTTCTACATTCTTCGGAGGCCGCCGTCCCAAAACCGCGACAGGCGCGGGTGAAAACCGCTCCATGAGTTCTTAGCCTAAGGCCATCTATCTAAATAAATATTTTGTTTGTTAATGTCTGTTAAACTTTATTGTACGTCAATATATTACGCAAAATAGGCGCCTTGATATTCGTATCATCATGATCACGATCATACGAATATCATCATAGTCACCATCATCGTCGTCATCATCATCATCATCACAACCATCATCATCGCCACCATCATCGTCACCACCACCGTTATCGCCATCTAACGTAAATTAACTGTTTGACTTAAAAGTAGATAAGAATGAGAGCGACAAGAATGATATTTGGATACATTTTAAATTGTCCAGGGGGCCTAATATGAACTCTTCTATTGCCACGCAGTTTACGCCGTATACTGCCTTGTAATTTCGTATTATGAACTGGTAATACCACCCAGTCACCGGTCCTGTGACATTAGGCTGTCTTCTGCCCGAAGTTTGGCTGTTTTCTTCTTCTTCTTGTAAATGTTACGGCTCCATCAAAACAAACGATGAATTCGCTAATGGCAATATAGTATTAAAAACGTTAGTTTGACATTTTGTTCACGTTTGATCTGTCAAAAACTAACAGCAATAAACCATTCAGTTTACTGTGTCTTGGTGTAGCTTTTATTGAATTGTTTTGTGTATAATTGTATAATAATTATTATAATTTTGAGTATATATTTTTAGGCAATCGTTTTATCATGTGCGATGAATACGAAATGTTTGAGTATCTGGAAAGTGATGCTTCACACGATAAAAATATGGAAAAAATCCCAAGAAGCCAACTGCGAGATCGTAGTGATCCGTTTGAAATGGATCCACTTTATGAAAAGGCTTAGCAAAGATATGGTCCATAATCTTTGCGATGAACTTAAACACCCACAAAATCCACCGAAATATTGGTTGACACTCAGGTTATTTTTCACTACAAGTATAATTTCTTTCAATATTATTCTTAAAATATTATTGACGTGCTTTCAACAAACTACAAAGTAAAAATTTACCCTCGGAATTTCATCGATGTTTGACGTCGTCGTTCGGAAACTTAATTTACGTTTTTTTCTTATTTACAAAAATTAAAACATAATGTATTGATTTTATTATACAGGCTGTATATTTGAAAGTGAGACATATTCATACATGTCATAGTAAATCATGTTACAACTTAATACACAAAGAATAAATCAACAAATGTGTTTTGGAGTGTACATAGGAATAAAACGATTCCCTTTACGCTTGATTTCGAGTGCAATGGGAATACTACCAAGCGAGCGCTGAGTGAGACAGCAACAATAACATTGATTTCACATCTCCCTTCCTACTAAAAGCAACTCTTTTCTCTAGAAAATAAAAACTAAGTTACTCACCTACTCATTTATGTTATGATTTAAAAAGCTGTTATCAAAATGATTCGTTTTAGCTTATGTTAATTATTTTTTACTTAAACTATCATCGAATTGTTTTACGTACTAAAAAACATAAGTTTATGATTTAGTAACTAGTTAACATTCAATAAGAATTGAAGATTTTGGAGTAGTTAAAAATGTGAAATCAAGTTATTTACAATTATTAATTTTTTTAGTTATTTACAGTTTATTTACACTTACGTGGTACGGAGCAAGTGTTCAAAATGTCCACCGTTTTCTACAATGCATAGTCTCGCACGGCATAGTAAATTGTGTTTTAAATTGTTCACCACAAACACATTTTGTCTCACAGTATAAAATGCTGAGATAATCTCACGCAACACTTCGACACTGTTCACCACCTCCGTGTAAACTCCGATTTGGGAACATTTCTCCGTACATTTCAATAGCTTGCCTCACACCGTCATTACTTATTGCGTAAAGTCGCACTATCTCAGTCAGTTCGACGTTGGAATAAATATCCATTTTGCGGCAATCGGGCGAGCGGAAGTACAAATAATTTACGTGTCTTCGTTAGACTAAGGTCGCGCGTGCACTGTCTTTGCAAACCGCGCCCGCACCCCCGACCTGTGCTTTGTATTTCGCCGCCGTACCAGAGTACATAGTCATGCCGCCGTCAGTCGCTGCGTCGGAGTAATAATAGTGATATGTATAGATTTCGATAATTAATGTTGTTCACAAGTAGTAGTCGATAAAAAAAATTAAAAGTATATTTTTATAAAGTTTAAGTTCATTAGTTTATTATTTCTTTGGGTTCAGAATCAGGAATATAACGCACTCTATAAGTATGTTTCACTTTCAAATGTACAGCCTGTATAGTGTCTTTTATTTTCGTACTTGAATAATATGTATTTAATTTTTTTCTCTTAAACTAAGTGACAAATATAACACTATAACTTACCGATAAATATTCATCCATGTTTTTGAACGTTACACTAAAAAGCACGAGCTAGTCAAGTCCCAGCCATAGACGAAATAAACAGCGAGAAGTAAGCGAAAAATGTGTATCGTAATACGAATTTTATCCAGTCAGTTTTTGGGCCATCCACGTGTGTAGAATCCGCAGTGCTCTCAATCGAGTATTTAACTTAGTGCGGATATTCACGGAAGACAATCGCGTACAATGAAAGCACGGGTGGCTTGTGCGCCTCTGTCGCTGAATATCTTATTCGCAAAATATCATGTTCGCTTACATGATATTCGCAAGATATCATATTCACAAAATATCATATTCGTAAGATACCACATTCTCAAGTTGTTACATTCTTAAAACACCATATTCGCAAAACACCACATTCGCAAAACACAACGTTCTAAGTACAGGCAGTAACATAGATATAGGAAAAAAGGGGAAATATGTAATGAAGCTATGTAAGATCGGATACCGATGTCGCCACTTTTTAGCTTGTGTGCAATTCAAACTTTACGCTCTATTATACCATAATTTGAAGATTTTGATTGGGTAGGGCTTAAAACGTGAAAACGACGTAACACAATTTTAAAATTTAACAATATTAAACTTACAATCACTTGAGTAAGAGTTATATTACAATATTTCAGTATTTTTTCATCCTGATTCAGCCATTCACCATCAGGTGGCGTTTTAGTAAAAATGCTACTAGTATATAATAGCTAACTATTACACGTTAGATGGCGCTGAAACTCATTTTTCTACTTTTTCACGGCGACTACGTGCCCGCACAAATTTGCTGGGTCGTGAGTATTGAAATAAAACTGCTGTGTAGCAGCACCGGTGGACGCGGATGGAAACCGCTCCGTCAATTGTTAACCTTTTAACCTTAAACTGTCGCTACTCAACGATTGATGGGGTCCTACCTAATCGACAGTTACAAACCATGTGGCTGTTTTTAATATTAAAAAAATATTCCATTTTTCATACTGTACCTACACTGGTACAGGTGTATTATTAAATTAATACATTAATATAAATTATTGTTATTTTCTTAATGGCAGCCACTAGGCTTGGGCCAGTGTCAGTTTTATAAGAATAATACAAAAAATATGGCGATCGTCGCCAGTGTCAGTTTTCCATTATACGTTACCACGGGTTGGTGAAGCTGTCACTGTCAAGAGTAAACTCGAACCATCAACAAATTTAATAAATTAAATTATGGTGTTTTTTTATGAAGGATTTATGTAATTTTCTATAATTGTTTCTAATTTATTTTGCGTACACATGTAAAATAAAGCCGATTTTATTTTATTATTATATTTTTATTTTATTTTATTTTTAAATGCATTTGCTATGGAAATTTAAACCAAGTTAGAAATAGTAATAAGAAAACCAATATTTCGATTTTCCTGCAGCTTCAACCCAACCTTCTTTTATTTTGAACTCATTGGAAAAACTTAAAAATTAAAAATACTCTACGTGTAAGCTACGAGTATAATGTAATTTAAATATCTAAATTATCTAAAACAATCATACACATACATTTTTCTTCAAGCAACAGCAACATATAAAAATTGGCATGAAACGGTTGTCCGAAATTTGAGTTGTGTTAAAGTTACTCGAAATAAAAGGTTTAGTAATAATAGTAATAATAATAAAATAAAAGAAATCAATTTAACGTGAATGCTTTTCGCTTCGATATTTTAGGGACTTTAATTACAAAGATCCATAGTAAGAAATTCAAACATTTCAGTAAAAATTTATTGTCGATAAACATCAGTCATCGTAAATGAACTTCACTATATTTGAGTCTAGAAATTTCTATGGAGACAAAAAGAAAATACTGAATAATAATAGAAATAGTAACTAAAAATGCAAATAGCCGTTATCTGTCTGTTATCTCACTGGTTTTAAAATTTTTGTTTTCACTCCAATTTTTACAAGGTGTATTGCTACAACTTGGCATTTTCACGTTTTACGAGAGATCTTGTATGTACAACGATTGTCATGTTACTGTGGCGATGTTCGTAGGCGTGTCACATCAAATCAAATCATCAAAATGATCATATCGAGGCGACACGAACCACGCCCCCATACCAAATGTCCCCTTTTTCTATATCTATGGGTAGTAATAGCAGGTCTTACTAGCAACAGACAGAGGGTTAGATTAGGTAGTATTAGACGTACCCTGTGTAACTGGAAATCAGAAAGTTACCCCTTACGTGCAATTTTTGTGCAGATACGTTAAAATTGTGTACATTTATGGTTAGAAAAATAATTTCCATAACCCCTCTGCCTATTTTCTATATCTATATTAGTATGTAATATTTAATATAGAATATAAATAAAATATTAAGGGGGTTTATGGAATACATGTGTATGAGTATGTAATGTATTGCACAACCCTATTAAACCTATCTATTTATTTAGTATTAAACCTACATTGCAAATTGCAAATTGTTGTTTTTGAATTTTTATATTTTGTATTTTTGCTTCTTTTTTTAACAATGATA